GTATTTAAGAAGACTTCAATAAATATGAAAACAATATTTGTCACCAAATCATAGCAAATCAGCACAGAACATAAGAAAGAATAAAATATACTTAAAAATTGCTTATTTTGCTGAAGACAAAGCAGGATTAATTTATCCACACTTTCCTAAGATTATTTTAAAAAGCCAGATCCAGTGAGGACTAAATACAATAATTTATTATTTCCACACAAAACTACTCTTGCCTGCATCTTACAATAAATTACATGAAAATGATTCACTGCTATTTTTCATTCTGCTGTATGATTTTGGCTGATAGCCTATTTTCTGTATATGTGATGAAAATTTTTTCACTCTTTCAAATATAGCTCATTTTGTATCACTTGACTTTTATGTCATTATCTTAAGATCTAAATTTAGTCAAAGTAATAAAGCTTGAATTTAATCACTTATTCAGTTGGCATTTATTAAGGGTCTGCCGTGTAAAGACCTCTTATGATTCCAAGGAATATAGCCATTCTCTCCCCAGAATTCTGTAAAGAAAGGACGGAAGGGAACTCAGGGAGGAGCCACCCATCCTGGACTCTCCCTGGTCGTCACTTTCCCTACAATCAATAAACCCATTTGTCTCATCATTCACTCATTTAGTTTAGTCTCTCTTCTCCATTTGTCTTGTTATTCTCAAACACATTTCAGTTTTTCTTTTGGAAGTTAACCGAATTTCTTCATTTAGCTAAATCCTATACAGAATGAAAACATTATTTGGGTGTCTGTTCTAGAGAAAAAGTTATTTACCTGAATTAATGATTTGAGCATAGCTGCAAGTTATCCAAAAAAGACATCTTAATGAAAAAGCACTTACACCATGAAGAGGAAAACAGAAAACGTTATAGAACACTTTTATGCCTTTATTCCTCCATAAAGAACTTTAATTATTTGCACACTCTGTGTAGACTAGGGTAGAAGTTTGAAAGATAAAAGACAAAAAGGCACTGAGTCTATGGGAAAATAAATATTTAAAAATGCAACGGCTCAGATTTTTGCATTTGTGTTTAATCTCCTCAGTTCTGTAAAAGTAAAATATGGAAAGGTGAAAGATGGGAGATAATTCAGAGGAAGACACTAGTTAAATAATGATGGGATGAAATAAATTAGCATGCAGTAAAAGATTAAAGGACTTCAATACATAGAGTTTGCCTAAGAAAGAACAAATAAAAAGCATAGCTATAGTTATTTGAAAGGTGACTATCAAAAACAGATTTAAAAAAAACAAAGCCTTGTCTAATACTCAAACAAATTCAGCTTATCTGCAGCAAAACTGTTAGATCAAGTTTGCAGATAACAAAGGTTAATGCTTCTGAGATGAAGGTTTGGGGCTGATCTAATGGAACTGAATCCTGCAGAACCGGGAAGAGAATGCAGAGAGTGCTGACTGTGTCTCTGATTCCCTTACATGAACTCAGGGCCATCAGTAGCTGTGCACAGGATGTCACTGTCACTGCCCTCACTGTGCCCTTCCATCTCAGTCCCTGGCCACCCTCCTCAGTCCAGCCTGGTCCTCCAACAAACTCAAACAGACACACACACATACTCTCAGAATACCTTAACACACTCATACGCACTGACACACACCCCACACACGCAGACACACTCACTCATACACTGACACACTTGTGCGCACACTCACAAATAACTTCACACACTCACATATACATACTGTCACACATTCATGTACACTGATACACACTGACATTCACTCGCAGACACTCTCACACTAATAGACACATACACTGTCACACACACACACACAGATTCCCATTCTCACACTCACACACAAACACACACTGATACACACACACGCCCTCCCCTTCTTCCTGCTTGTCTTGTGGGTCCCTAATCAGGTTCCTTCCATGCTGTGCTGCCTGTGCCATGGCTCCCAGTTCCTACAGGCTCATCCGGCAGCCCTCCAGGGTACCACAGACCAAACTCACCGCCCACCCCACTGGACTCTAAAAGATAATTGAGAACAGAAACTGTGTTTTTCATATAACTTCCTAGCATAGTCCCTGGCTTATAGTGAGTTCACAGTAAATGTTTATTAAAATGGAAATGAACCCTTGATGAAACCCGAATTACAGGGGTGTTTCTCTCCTCCTCCCTGCCCTTTTCTCCCTCCTTCTTTCTTTCTGAAATAGTTCACAGTTCAGTCTTTAGTGTGACTATATCTACTCTATTTTTCTTACTCTTGCTATTTCTATTCCTATATGCTACTGCACTGTTAAAATGCTGAAGCATTGCGATGCTCAGGACTGGCTGCAAAAGACATCTTTACCTGCTGGTGGACGCCCATGAACACCTCTCCTTGCTGTGATGGGAGACCTCCCTGGCTCTGGCCTTTAAGAAAGGCCACATTGAATTCTACTTGAAGGGGTCGGCTCTAGCTTCCTAGAAGCCCTTTCCTGCATAGTTGTTTTTTTTTGTCTCATTAAATCCTAGGACAAGAGTTACTAGAAAGAGTGAGGGACATATCTCTTTAACCTCGGGGAATGCACTGACTTAGTATTTAAAGGGAACGTTGACACAAAAGTGTTTGTCATATTTAACATTCTTATTTTTACTTGAAACAGTATATTAGCTATTCTCATCTCCATGCATGGAGAACTGGAAATACTCTCAGTTGGAGTCGTGCCAATGAGATGTTAATTGTATGTGCTTTTACTGATAATTTTAAGTTGTAGAGTCTTGAGAAATATTTGAAACATTAAAATTTAAAACAGAAAAATATATTGTGTCAACAGAAATGTCAAGGATTTCTAGAGACACAGCATGGAAATTGGCTTATGATTTTGATTTGTTGTTAGAAAAGCTTTCAAAACTTTTATAAATTTTATACATCAAAACTCATATATCTAATGACAGTTATTTTCAATGTATGCTGTTGTTGGTCCTGTAAAATTTTTCTGTGAAGGCTGGCACTCCTTCCCTAGAAGAAAAAAGGGTTTTTTTAGAGAGCTGTGAGCCTTGGCAAGTGCCCCTTTATTATATTAGTGGCCATGTGACTAGAGAGGATGATTTTCTAGGTTCCTGAGGAAATGCCTGAGCAGCCAGACCCAGCCTCTGACTGCACTTGAGCAAGCAGCCAGGCTCATGTGAGAGTCTACTTTCTCCTTGACTTACATAGATGGTGTGTCTCGTACTACTGAGAGGATGGTCCCTGAAACAGGAAAACTGAAGCTTTAGTAAAGCCAGCCCTGGTGGTCTGGTGCTCTCACCCGGGTTTCTTTCCGCATCAGGGAACCACACTACCTGTCTGTTGGTTGTCATCTGTAGTGGCTGCATGATGCTGTGATGCTGAAAGCAATGCCACCGGTATTTCAAATACTAGCAGGGTCACCTGTGGTGGAGAAATGTCGGTGGAGCTTCCAGCCTAGACAGACTAGGAAGAAAGACCTGGCCACCCACTTCCGAAAATATTGGCCAGGAAAATCCTGCAAATAGCAGCAGAGCATTGTCTGATACAGCGCCTGAAAGGGAGAGGATGGTGCGAAAAGACCAGGCAGGCTTCCACTCTGCTGTACAGGGTCACGAGGAGTGGGACTCCACTGAGGCACTAACAATAACAACCTTTTGCAAGGAAAATACCTTTCCTGATTACTATTCCTGGGAACTATTATTTTCATTAGAATAGTAGCCTGTAGGAAACTGCATGCTCTTTTTCTTTATTTTCTAACAATATTTTGTGGTCTAGATAAAACTGAAGATAAATGACAAATTTGGCTTGACATCTCATTGATCAGACCTATTTTTGTTGCTGAGGCTGTTTGACTAATGCAGGAAGGAAGCATTATCCGGGTTTGATGGTGTTGACCGTTGGGCAGAGCACTTGGTATTCAGATCCCTGGAGTCAAGAAAGCCTGTCACAGATAATTTTTATGGAGAGCTTAAATGTCAAAGCAAAGATTAGAATGTCATCCACAGAGAGAAACAACAAATTTGAGGGAAATCTATGTTAAACAGTTCTAGTACAGATTTATGCTACATGGAAAAGTCAGACATTTCTCTGGGCAGGTGTCAATAGAAGGTTCTTATTCCACCTTCCCTGCAGCAATTTTGGGGCAGCTTGGCCCCAAATTTTCAACCTCATACTCTTTTTCAGATCTCTGCATGTTAAAATCGCTAGAAGACCTGGGTTCCACTTCGGTCTTGGTGCTGACCAATGATGTGACATGGGACCCTCACCCTTGGCCACCTCACCACACAGGGCTTATACTAGAATCAAATTCATTCATGTTCATGAAAGCAGTAGATACTACAAGATTCTGTACAGGTGTGAGATGTTCTAATGTTTCAAGCAAAAGAAACCTTGTGACTATAAGGAAGTTGGGAGGTAATGAAAGTAAAAAGAAAATGACCTAATCAATTTCTTAGATAATTGGAGTTTCTAAAGGGGAAAGGATATTACTTTTAATATCTTATCTCTAATTTTTTTGTAAAGTAAGAGTAGCCCACTTTTGATGTTTACAAAAGAAAAGCTATCACATTCTCATGGTAATTTATGCTTCACTGCAATTCAGAATGACTTGGGGATCAGACCTTCGACCCACACACGTCTAAGTCACCTTGAGGAAAACATTCATTTATTCAATATAGTCTGACGTTTTTCAACTATTTGTTTGTGTATTTTTATTTTATATTTAATTAATTTTTCTAAGTAATTTCCCTTCAAAAATTAAATCAATCTAAAATATACTAGGTAGTAAACAAATATTCTCAGACTATTGTTTGTAAATAAGATAAAGTACTTTGGAATAACTTTAAATCACTTTAAATATAATGTTCTAAAGTCAAGCCATGGGAAATAATTGTGGGGATTTTTTTTTTACCTCTTGAATATAGTTTTTTTGTTTTGAAGTATGTGTTTAACCCTTACCACTTACCTGGGAAAAAGGTTCAGGAAGCACCCCTCCTCCATCATTCTTGGGCAGCATGGCTTGACGTGGATGCTGTGTGCTCCTTTTCAGAGCTGGAGGCTGAGGAGTGGTGCAAACATCTCTGCATGGAGTGTCTGGGGACCAGACTGAACGACATCAGCCTTGGGGAGCCGGATCTCCTGGCGGCAGGAGTGCAGCGGGAACAGAATGGTACGTATGCTTTGCCTTCCTTCGTTCTAAAGTGCACTCATCATTGTAGAACTTTGAAATCGGAAAGGCCCTCAGAAATGTTTCAGCCCAATCATTTTTAAAGGAAAGCAAACTGACCAATCTGATCAGTTGTGAAGAGACTTTCCCAAGATTGCGTAGCAACTAAAGAAAATACTACAGTACAACCCAGGTCTCCTGATGTTTCCCTCTGTGACATTGCCCCTTGTTTAAATAAGTAACTGATGAGTTGACTCATTATATGTAAGGTTTTGAAGGTACAACATGCCTACATTTTCTTCTTGGAGATCTGTTACTGATTTAGAGTCTAAATTAAATTTGATTTATCATGTTATTTATCAATAGATTTTAGGGAGTTTGGCTAATGGTATGTGTTCGCTCAGGCTGTCATAATAAAATACCATAGACTGAGTGGCTTGAACAACAGGAATTAATTTCTCACAGTTCTGGGGGCTGGAAGTCCAAGATTAAGGTATCAGCAGGGCCGATGTTGTGTGGGACCCTCTTTTTGGCTTGCAGACAGCTGCCTTCTTGCCGTGTCCCCTCAAGGCTGAGAGAGGAAGAAAGAGCAAGGTCTCCCACGACTTATAAGGACATTAATCTCATTATGAGGGACACGGCCTCATGACTTCATCTAAACTTAATTACTCCCAAAGACTCCATCTCTAAATACTATCACTTTGGGGGTTGGGGCTCCAACATGTGAATTTTAGGGGGAACCCAATTCAGTCCAAAGCATACTATAAACCAGAAAGTGCAGTGTTTCAAATCTCAGATTATAACAAAATTGAGCTTTATGTGACACACTATTTACTTATTACACCGTTCTCTAATTTGACAGGCATTTCTGATGTTTCTTGAGAATTTATCTGCATGTTCTTCAGCAGCACCTCTAAATAATGAAATCAAAGTAATGTAGTGAGCTCCTTTTTCTCATTTTTTAAAATAATTATCATCATCGACAGATGATACAGTAATATGAACATAGAAACTTTTCAGTTTTGCCAATTTTTTTTTGACTTTATTTTTTTTCCTTTTTCTCCTCAAAGCCCCCCAGTGCATAGTTGTATATTCTTCATTGTGGGTCCTTCTAGTTGTGGCATGTGGGACGCTGCCTCAGCGTGGTTTGATGAGCAGTGCCGTGTCCGCGCACAGGATTCAAACCAACGAAACACTGGGCTGCCTGCAGCGGAGCGTGCGAACTTAACCACTCGGCCACGGGGTCAGCCCCCTAGTTTTGCCAATTTTTGATGGCTATTCTTTTTGGAAAGGTTGAAGGATATTGGTGAAGCTTGACACAAATTATTAAAAAGAAATTCTGGAATTACCTGTGGTTTATAAATTAGACAGCACAGGTGCAAGTGCACCAGGATAGCACTTGAGGATAATGACGTTGTTATTACTAAGAATCTTCTAACAACCATCACTGTCTCGCAGCCCATTTAAAAACATGGTTTTTTGTTTATTGCTAAACTGAAAAAACAAGTTTTCCCCACTCATTGATCATGAACGTATATGAGCACAAAATATTGCCCGTATTGATAGTTTCCAGAAAGTCACAAAGGCGTTTCTGTGGCAATTTTTCTAGCTTCTTTTTTCTATTTCAGCTCCTCTCCCACACTCTCTCAGATGTCATCTCTGATTTTTTTCTGAGAGCTGTGCTAAGTACAGAATGTCCATAATCATGCTGCTTAAAGTATGCTGCTCTTTCACAGTTTAAGAAAAGAAGGAAAAACCTCTTACTGATAAGCCTTCATCAAGTACTACATAAAGGAATATGAAGAAAGGGAAGAAACTAGGCCTGTGGGTGGAAGCATCATTGTATCATTGTGCAGCTCATTTAGTGTGAATTGTATGCTTTTACTTTAAAAATTTGAGATTGCATATGGTTTCCATCCAAGTGGATAATGTACTCCTTTGGTTTATTGTAATTTTTATTTCTAATTTGATAATAATGTCAAAGAAATTTGCCTAGAATGTAAAGAGAAATTTGTAATATAAATTTTTTAGGATAGGACAAACATGGAATTAAATGCCAGAGCTACATAAAAAGCACAAGTGGAGACAGCCTGCCAAGTAAACTTTTCAGGCCACGATTTGAGTGCAGGCTACTCCCCTTAATTAGCTCCCCTTAATTAACCAGTCACTAACTCTCTTCTGTTATCAGTTTCGTAATGTATGAAAGTGAACTCATACCTACTCATGGTGCTGTCATGATGGTTAAATGAGATCATATAAAATAAAGAGTAACTCTCATGCTTAGCTCAATTTTTTTAAAAAAGTACAAGTTTTTTGTTAAGCACAAGTAAAAAGAGAAAAATCAAAAAATAATTCCTGCATATATTTTAGAGAAGACCTGAAATTATAACGACATCCAATGCCATAAATGCTTTTCTTAGGTTTATTTTGTTTAATAATCCTAACTTCTTAGAAAGGGGTATATGTGCTTTTAAAAATATATTTTAAAAGTTTATGAGTAATTATTTAGTTAGAGAGGGTAGCATTTGGTTCATTTGATGATCTCTTAGAAGTACATGGCACACTAGAAGGAATCAGCAGTCTTACTTAAACACACACGTGCACACACTCATGATCACTAAGACTCTTTAGTGTTGAGCATTAAAAGGAAAATTCTTGGATGGAAGTATTTCCTTTCTCCAGGAATCATCTCCAACTTGGGTGAATCTCTCTCTGAGTACCAAGGTCATGGACATAGCCGTTACTCTGGGCTCTTGGAGTCTGCAGACACTTTCTGTAAAGTGCTTCCTCCAGTCCAGATAATAACCCCTTTCCTCTGTTCCTCTTGCTTCATTGAGGGCTAGCTAAAAGATTTTTAAATAGTCATTCATACCATAGGAGAACACAAAAAGAATAAATCTCGACAGAAGGTCAAGATTGCAGACTCTACTATTGCTAACTCAAAAATTCCGCTATATATATGTGTACATGCTGCCTGGGAGAGAAACACACTTACAGACACACACGCACACCCTCACAGGCACAATTTGTTACTTTCATACCCTGACTTTCTCACTTCCTATCAACAGACTTCTCCTGTAAATATGATCATCCCATTCTAGGGTCCCCCCTGAAATAACTACCACTAGTCTGTAAAATCTCATGGTAAAGACTAAGAATGCCATTTAGCCAACTTGAACCCTCTCCCTTGGGCCCCACGATTGCTTTAGTGACACACATCTTCCTTAGACAGTATACCCATTCATTTGACTATGTGTAGGGAAAGTATTTGTTGTTCTAACTCGCTAATTAAAGCCTTCTAAAAACAATGTTCTCTTTTACAGCAGTCCTTTCATGGCTTTGCATCACTATTCCAGTCTCCCCAAGTATGACATCTCTTAAATAAAATCCTTAACTTCCTAATACATGTTTGAAGTTGTTAATATATACAAATTGGGATAAACTCTTTATGAAATCTTTGTCATTACAGATTCAGGGGTTTTTTTTAATTATATAATTTATTCTTCATCAGAAACATTATTTTGCTGTTTATCAATGATATGCTTGAATTTAGTTTGAAATTTCTCCTATGAGATGAGAGACATATGCATGCAGAATTGATGTCACTGATTACATTATTGTGGCTTGTGGTATCCTGTCATCGAGGAAGCACACACTGCCAGTCTTGACCACAGCATTTGTTTTGAAATATTTCTGTTTCTCCTCTAGTGTTTTTCTGACTCTTCAGACAGCTTTGTCTGATTTACTCTGAGACTAGCTAAGAATAAACATTTGTGCAAATAATTTTTAAAGATGTAATGTGTGTTGCTGAGATAAAAGGGGCTATTGATTAAATTCTTTGCCATAATCATCTTTATCTAGTGCTGTCAGCTGCTTTCATATCGACTCAGAATCCCACATGGTGTAGGGGGAGGTAAGCAAACGCGCACACACACACACACACACACACTCTTATTCTTACACTGCAGATAACACTGCCACAGGAAGTGCATATTAAGTACACATTTTGAACTTTAAATTCTTACAACTTCCTGAATCTTCACATCTTTCAGTAGTATTTAAGATAGCCTACGCTGACCTTAGAAAATGCTAATGTATGGTGTTAGAATCATAGTTATTTATAAAGGATTCAAAATACATAATAGCAATTCTAGAAGACAAATGTTATGCATTAATCATTAATAGCAGAAGTAGGCACCATAACCAAGAAGCAACTCACTTGTAGGAAATTCCTGCACTTGCAGTTGGAAGTGGATTAAGAGGATACGTCCAATTTTCTATTGATGCAAGAGATGGCCATCTGGAACAAAATGGAAACATAACCTCAGATAGTGCCATCTGGTTAATGCAGAGTCAGATCTGAGGGTTTGCTTTTGTCCAGGCCCTAGTGTCCCTGCTTATGAATGGACTAGAATTGGCATTAATTCCTACTTTTAGCCTAAGAATGTGTATAACCTTTATCTAGAACCAAAGCAGTATTCCAGTGTTGTTTCTAACTTATTTACCTGGTTGCTATAGTAACCATGCTCCCTGCATTCCACTCAGACACCCTCATATGTTGTTCACTCATTCATTATTCACCCATCAAACATTTTGAGGCTATTATACGCAGGAACTAAGATGAGGAAATGTAGAATTATGCAAAATATGATCATGACTTTTAAAAAGCTCACAGAGTAGTGGGGGAGACAAACCTATAAGCAAGGTGTACCTATCACTGTCTTTAAAAATAATGCTGTGTTATGGGTCACCACAAAATCTCAAGAGCACAGACCTGGAAGTATGTCCTTATCATTCATCATAGGTGGGTTGGCTAGGGTTCAGCTGACTGAGGTCGGGTGCTGCTGAGATGGGCTCCAAGCTGCAGATGGTGTCTCTCATCCTCCTTACACTAACGGCTACCCAGGGCATGTTATCAAACAAAAACCAGTAGAGCAAGAGAGCAAGCCCAAACTTGCAACATGATTTAAGTCTCTGCATGCAGCATGTCCACTGACATTCCC